GCACGATTTAGAAAAGAAAATAAATTAGAGAATATAGTGAGACTATTTTTATTTTTAAATTAAGTTAATGAAGCTATTATCTTATAAAATAAGAAAAAAATTTAAAATATTACAAAAGAATATACTATATTATTTAATTAAATTATTGTGTAATCGGATTTTATTTTGTAATCGGATAGTTCGGGCAGTTTGAAAGTAAAATTACAAACCAAACCAATTATATCAATTTTAAAATTTTATAATCTAAACCAACCTAATTTTATATCGGTTTAGTTTAGTTTTTTATTGAATTTGATTAGTTTAGGTCAGATCAATCAGATTGGATCAGATGTGAGCACCCCTAATTTTGGGAATAAAAAATTTGAAACTTAACCTTTGAATTAAGAGTGTATCTATGACATAATTTATAATTATTGGTTCAAGAAAGTCAGTGTAATATTACAACATTTTATAAAACAACAATTCAAAAAAAATAAAAATTCTAGATTCTTCTATGCTTGTAGAACCTGGACTCTTTTCTATGTTTCATCTGCAAGAAAGAATCAGAGCTTTTACGAACTTCCTTTAACTGGTATTAATGTAATCATTCAAAAAAAAATTGCAACTTGTTTTAGGTAATTCTTTTTATTTTTGTCTTGACTGTGAGGGATACATTAGATTTAGACTAAATTTTCTACCTTTATTTATTCACTTTGTGCCTGAAAATTGTTTCTTATTTCGTTATCCTTTGTTCTTTATTATTTATATTTGAAAGAACAAGAATTAAATAACCTGATACGTTCCCTAAGCTTTTCAACAATAACCCTATATGTTAGGTAACATTCATCTAAACAAGTAGCCACTTGCAATCTGTATGCATGCTATCAGACTCCACAATGATTTTTTTTTTTTAATTGTTTTTAAGGGAACGAATCTGTACTATGTTTAAGTAGTTGAATGTGAAGGACAAGTGATTGGGGTCACTCTTCTGCTTGTATCTTTGTTGACGTTTGCATTTTGTGATAAAGACAATTATATTATTAATTTTAGAAGAAAAATTTTATGCAGCAGTGGTCATGCATGCTTACGCGATCAATGGCACACGAACGAAATGGATCATAGATATGGGGCTAAATAAAATGCTAAATAATATACATCTATGACACAGGCAATTTTCTGTATGTCCATTAGCTAATCAATTTTACCTGCCCAGAAAGACACAAACAATTGTGTTTCTAATCACCTCAATATATACATGACATTTCTATCCTGATCACAAAAGCGAAGGGAGTAGTGGTCTAGTGCAATGGCAGCTTTGAGGCTCGTATTGCCAACAAGAACTATGACTCCTAACGTGATTGCCAGAGGCATCATCAGTGCCTCTAATCAGAATTTTGTCCACGATATGCCCACGATTCAACCAGGTTGCAATTCAGCACCACTTTGGGCTAATGGATGTACTCGGAAATATTTATCATTTCAGATACAAGAGGAGGATGGTGGGGCCTTATAATAAGCAAACTATTAGAGGCATGCGACCCTTCTTTCAAGCGCATGGTTTGCAATCTGGGGATCAAGTTACTATTTATAAGGAGCGCGATGAGGTGAGATTACTCGGCCAAGTTATCCAGCCTGCTCTTTATATTTTTCACTTTCAGAGGGCTTGAGAAGGTTGCATGAGAGCATTCTGAAGGGAAAGTGAAATGACTTTTGTATGAGAGAATAAAGAATCAGGTCAGGTGATTAATGAATTTTCTTTTTTTCTTTTTTTCTTTTTGTTTTTCTTGTGATTGGAGATGAATGAATTTTCTTAATATGATTTTAAATTTCTGATCTTGAAAGAGTTAGCAGGGAAAGTACTGTTTTCCTATTTGTTTTCTGGCATGTTTAATGTACTGTTGTGTACATATGTTCATTGTACTTCAATTAATTTTCTCTTTGGCTGTTCAAAAAAATTTTTTAAATTAAAAAATAAAGTATGAGCATTCACTTAAAGTTATAAATTTATAATATCTTAAATTTTGAGTCCTTAAATTTTAAGAAAAATTATGTTGAACAATTAATTGTGATATAATAATTAATTAATCAATATTTTAGTAAAAAATGATTAATCTAAAAAGAGATTTTTAATAAAAGATCAAGTCACTAACCCCTCTCATACAACAACCTTTTCTCCTCCAAATCAAGAACAGCAACTGCGCTTTCCTCCCCCTTAATTCGTGATTGTTTACAGTGGGTGCATCTTCTTTAAATTCTCTGATAAGAAATCAGCTATTAAATTATTCTTTCATCTTTAAATTGAATTATGCAGACTCTAATCCTTTATAACTTTGATTTTGGATAATCTCCTCTAGCTTTTCCCTTTGATTCTATCAACTACGGATTAACATCATTGATCTCTGTTGCTGGAAATATCCAATCCATTAGATTGGGTTGGTTCCTCATGTATTTTGGTTTGGATTCTTAAGAAACCAAATTAGTTGGTTTGGATTGGATCAAAACCATGGTTAATCCATAAAACCATGAGTTTAAATTTTAGAACTTGAAGTTGAAATACAATTTCTCACTCTCTTTTCAAATATGCATCCCAGTACACTTTCTTTTTCGTTTGTCATGCCTGACATGTGTTTTGCAGTTTGTTTTTTTATTAGTTTTATTTTTTTTATTTTGCTTGCATAATAAAAGATAATCATCTCTCATCCTTTATCTCACCATACACATATGCCATGCGACCAAAACTCAAGATCTTTTGCTTTTAGCGAAAAGAGATAACCACTAAATTATTTAAGTTCTTGATTTTTTTTATTAGTTTTTAAATATGCATTTAAATGAATTTTTATCTAATTTAATTACTCCTTCAGTCACTCTATTCAATTTTAATAGTGATGATTTGGTTTTTTGATTTTTAAAATATAAATTTTAAATAAAAATTTAAAAATTTATACAATAATAATTTTAAAAATTTTATAAAAAAAATTTAATTGTTTAAATTTTCGTATAAAATTGATTTTTGAAAAATAAAAAATTAAACTAAAACCACTAAAGTAGGACTACCCATAATTAATTTATTTCACACTATATTTTCTATTCATCATTTTTCCTGTCCAGGTAACAAGATTAGAGGCATTGGGAATCAAAGTGACGTGGTAATCGGCTAATTCAACTATTACTTAATTGAGACTAAATTAAGCCATAAACTTTTAGATGATTTATTTATGCATAATCTTGCCGACAATCATTTCTTAATTAAT